GTGATATTTCAATTGCAAGGAGCGAGCGAGCGCGCGCCAATTCGCGCGCTTTGCTTCACCTTGATGTTGTACGACAAGCAGAGTTCGGCTAGAGTGGTATTTTCACACCCATTACATGTTGTCCAAGTTGACGCAATGTTGGAAAGGCTGTCTCACATATACACACTATCTTTAATCCTTAATGACCCGACCCTCCCCTAACAGCCATTACTTAATGAGATGGGAGTTCAACCTGAATAGCCTCCTGCACCCCCTGTGGCCTCGTCAGCCATGAATACATTATCATATCAGACCCGACCTCACGTGTGTTTTTCTTTCTTTCTCATAGCCTGAGCCCGTATCCCGCGGCTCCAGGTACACCTCGGAGAGAGCCGCAATTTGAATCAATGCGAAGGGCTGATTATGGACCTAAAATGTACACAAATATACGTCGAAGTTGTTGGTGTGATTATTGGAATAGCACGAAACCCTTTTTCACCCTTATGAAGCTAATTTCTATCTATAAATTACATTCTCTCACAGGTGCGAGGACACATCTTGTGACTGAAACTGTTACTTACCTCTACATACTCACATAAAAGTAACAACAAAAAAAATACATGCTCCTATGTCTGAACCACAGCTTATCAGCTATCTAGCCATTACTCGTGTCTCACATTCTTTCTTTCTCTAGGGCTGTTCAATGTTTTTATCTTAAAAAGAGAAATCAAATCATGCAGTAGGTATTATTAAGGATTCTGTCCATTGTTTTCTATTGTATAATTTATTATCATGTGCTTTAATTAAGCAAAAAGTATGTTTTATCCGATTACTCGATTATTGATTGGAATATATCGTAGAATACTCGATTACCCAAAAAATATTCGATAGCTGCAGCCCTGCAGTTATTACTGAAGAAACAGAGAGACATACAGAGAGAGAGATGAAACAGGTGAGAGGCGGGGCAAGCTGGTGGGTGTGTGTGTGTGTGTGTGTGTGTGTGTGTGTGAGAGGAGAGAGACAGATCCACCAGTAGGTATGTGTCGTGCATCATCTTCTGATGTTATATGTTAATGCACAGAAACACATAATTATTTAGTGCAATTCAATTTGTTCTAGGAGGTGTGGAAGTGTTGTAGGAGATACTGCTGATTTATTGTCACTGTTGCCTGTTGTGTCATACGCTTAATCCTGGCTACCATTAAATTTTCCTCTTCAACATTCTGTGAGTTATTTAAGTCGTGGGTAGGGCATTTTCGGTCTATTTCCACAAACTGCTTGTTGTGCCATGCCCTTGTTCTGGGCGTGTTATCATTGGTTGTCATTGCCTATGGTTGGGTCCGGCCCTGTCGGGGTCGATCCCTATGTTCCCCGGGTCCTATGTCCCCAGGGATGACTGATATTAACTTATTTTCACTTATTTTTTACTTGTTTTATTTCTGAACTACTTTAGTCAACTGCTTTTTTTTCAGTAACATTACTCTTTTTCTACACAT